TTTTTTTTTTTTATTAATTCTGTAAATCAACGTATATAAGCAAATCTGTATTTACATGAAAGTATATGAATAAGAGTGAAAAAAAAAAAACAACAATTAATTCAAATATTCATGTTTTTATCTTTAGAGTAATAAAATTGCTTTTTGACTAATAGAAGTAAAACAATTTTATTCATCTACATACAGGATGATTTTGTGTATTCTTTGATTTTTCTCTTGCTTAATTCTGCATTAAAATTTCATTGAGGTTTGAAATATTGTAAAAATGAATCAACTAATGATGAACGTCATTTTTCTTGTAAACATTAATTAGTAAATTTCATTTCTATATGACTCTTTCTTTAGATGAAGTTTATTATAATTTTATAATTTGTGTATTATAATTTGTTCTCTAATGATACAGAAATATCAATCTTTCTGTGTATGATCAGATTAAAGATATTGGGCAGAAAATGTTATATGAAATAAGCATGCTTGTAAGACAATTTTATGAATACAATATTTTTTAATTATTTAATAAATCTATTAACATCGAGGTCTGAGTACCGAGGAGATCTAGTTATTTTACTAGAACTTCTTTGTTTACATCAGGTTACCTTACGGCATTTATATCAAACGAGTTTGCCGACTTCCTGCTACAGTACTAATCAGGCTTTATAATGTTAATCAAATCAAAGTGAGTTACCGCTGGTAATGCAACTATCTGCTGATCTAAGGAGTAAACAAAAGATGCAAACTAGTTTTTGCGACACTTTTAGCTGGAATGCTGGTGGGCGGAATAGTAGATGGCTATCATTGCTGGGCAAGTGAAAAGAGAAACACATTTTGCTAAGAATATTTGCAGGAAATGTGTAAAATTTCGTTAATCGTTAGATGAAATCGGAAACGTCTTTGGAACGAGGTGCAGGCGTGAGAAATGCAACGCAATGGCATCATCTATCGCTGGCTGCAAATCAAATAATCTCAGCATGACATAATCTTCTTGGCTTAGCACATGCAAACGACTAAGCCAAGAAACAAAAAAGGCAACCAGAGAAACGGCCAGCAGTAGCAGCAGCAACAGGACATCCTACTTACGTCTACAGCAACAACAACAGAAAACAGAAAAAAAAAATTCAATTCTAAAAAAGGCAAACAAAAAGTCCTTAAGTTATGTTGTGCGTCATTTTGGCTGGCAAATGGAATGAAAACAAAAGACATCAGAGAGCACTGCGAGGACCAGAGGAACGCGAAACTGAGATCAACTAAACTGAGAGGACGCAGCACAAAAGGACATGGCACTTATGCAAGCCTTCGCTGTTCGTTTTTTATGGAACCAGGACACAACAATCAACAATCAACTGAAATGGAAGCAGCGACTTCATCACTTGTTTCCTCTGCGCGCGCTACTCCTGCTCCAGCTTCTGCTCCTGTTGCATAAATGGCGAGCATTCAAATGCCTGAAAGAGGACACGCTCAGATATCAGGTTAACATCAGCACGGCAGCGAATCCCATTGGGTTCCGAGAGATGATGAGTACGATGCACGCATATGATCTTGGAGGTGTGTCCCATTGTTTGGTCGCGCTTCCGTGGCAGCTATATGAAACTTATCTCAGCGGATGCCTTTGCTTTGCTCTCATTACAAACACACATACATAGAGATTTATATATGTATATATATTTTGCACGTGCAGCTCTGGGAACCGAGTCCCGATAGTGCTCCTATTCCTCTCTGTATCTGTGTGTCAAACCCGACAAAAGTTGCTCAACTTTGTGCCGTCATTTGCCTCGGCTCCTACTTTACGCAATTTCGAGCCGACATTTGAGCACTTTAATTTCATGTTTTTATGAATTGTTCAAATGATTTCTCAAGATCAGATTGCTTATCTGTCAGCTACGTACCTTGTCCCTTATCCCCTACTCTGTCTCTGCTTCTGCCCTGATTCAATTTATGCACTGTGTAATTATTGCGCTTTTTCGTAGTTGTTGTACCTTTTGAGATTTTGCTCGGGACTATAATAGTTTACTTCCTGGGTAACATCCTTACGAAACTAGCACTTGGTTGCTTAGCCATTTCGACGTGATTTCTGAGTCGCTTCCTGTTGATGTGGCAGTCGGCTCGTTTCTCATACACTCAATCCTTTTGTTTGGCTTTTGGGGACTTGTCTGTTTTTACTTTCGGGTTGACGTGCTTTTTGCTTTTATGAACTCTGCTTTGACTGAGCAGAGCTGCATTCGTTTCTCGTTCGAGCGGAAGTTGCCTGAAACGTATTTTCATTTCCGCTGATTTTATGCATACTTAAAAAATAAATTTACATAATATCGGCGCCAAAATTATAAGAATTTCATGATGAAATGCTAGCAAACTGCAGATTACGCGCCAAGCGCAAACAAAATGTCTTCGAAAATTAGGGAGCAAATAAAGAGGAGAAGTCACATATGATAAATGTATCAAAATATATAAACACAAAGGCTGAACTAATAATCTATAAGCAAATCACATTTTCTGCCCTATTTTCTCATCTATGATCAAATATTTCTAGAGGCTTACATAACGCGTTATCGACCTGAAATTTGAAAGCACATGTTTCTTATCCAATACATGATCTACATAAGGTGGAATATGTAAATATACGAAACTACGTTCGGCACGGTCATAAACGAAATACAAAGAGTTCACCTAATGACATTTCGGGACTTTCCCATCAAAAGTCTGGCGCGATTCATAATGATGGGCGAGGGTAAGGGAACAGCCGGCAAATGCTCTTGCTGCTCAATGAACGGTGCCAACTTTTGGGCCATAAACAGTAAAACACGAAATTTTCCGCTCCAAACCAAAGTAAATGAAGGAAATTTCCCAAATTCTCTAACCCTTTTTGGTTCTGCCGAACTGTCATTAGGTTTGTGGCGTCGTCAGACGCCTGACAACAATGTCATACAGTAGTGGCATGTATTCTTATATAGTGGCTGCGATTTTGATGCATGTTTATGAGTCCTAACCCTTTCGGCCACTATCAACTGCGATTCATAAAAATGCAACGAAAGTGCCAATGAGGACCATAAAACTCTGCTGCCCAATGCAACTCGCTACCTAACAGCCATTCTTGGCATTCTTCGAAGACAAAAAGGTGCTAACTACGGTTTTTGTGCACCATCATTAGCCTTAGCTCTACCCTGGCGACGACGGGTCGGCTGCTGAGCCCGCTTGCGCCCCTACCTACCACCCGCTCAACCCTTTCGCTTTCGCAAGGCGCAAGGCTCAACCTGCAGTCTTTTAGGAATTTTGCTAAAAAGTCATATGCTGTATGCTTTTCGCCGGAATATCATTATTGACTATGCTTCTTCTTCTCTTTTCCAAGTTGACCTTCAATTGGCGTATGACCATATGTGTCCTAGGCCTACCTGAGTGTCGATCTGTATCTTGGCTGCCTGCGCGCGACTGCTGTTTAAGGACTTGTGGTGGATTTAGCGCTAATCCGCGGGGATTAGCGGGATTAGCAGTTCGCCGGCGTTACAGAATTTCATTAAGTAATGGAGCGCTACTTAACTTGAATGAAAGTCGCGCTCGGAGATTTCCTGCGAATTCCCCTTAGGTAAATTCAATTGAAATTGGAGCCCAGCAATATTTATACGATCGAATTATATGGGAAAGCTAGAGAATGAGAAAAAGAGTGGGAGTGGGAGTGGGCAGCTGTCAGTAATATAAGAGACAGCATCAATTGAAGCGAAGGTCATGCATATTCCTGAGTTCCCACGATAAACCCTTAGTTAGTCAGCACAGTCACATCACATCATTCAAATTGACCGATGGCCAGAGAACAGTATACTCAAAATGAATATGTCATCGTCATCTGGTTTACTAGAGCATCATAATCAACAGTATTCAGCATTGTACCATCCATGAGCTAATGATCTGAATCGTTGCATCCGAATAACATCACACGCAAGCACATTCCCATGCTGCACACCTGAGAGACCAGAGTGACGGACAGCTCGCTGGTGGTGGGTGGGTGTCCACGAGACATGCTCATCGCACCCAATCTAAGCACCATCAACAACTACCCTCGGCAACAGCATCAGTCCACTCGAGGGGTTGCTATTCTAATTAGACCCTTTTCATTTTATTATTTGGTGTTGCTGTTGTTGCTATCATCGCAAGCGTTTTATTGATCAAGTTACGCATCCGTAATATGAATCGAAATATATAATTGCTCTTTTTAAATGTCTCGTCATCTATCAATGCGTACGCATTGGCATTTGCATTTACATTTGCGGACTCGAGTTCGAGTTCTCAAAGCAGCAACAGCAGCGAGGGACTGACAACCCCTCGGACAAGGCTGGGCTAGGCGTTCGAGTTTTAATCGCACCAGACTTACGGGATCTTGCTTAACATTATAAAGTACAATATTTTTCGCCCGAATTCTATAATGCTAGAGCATTTGCCTTGGGCGTTGATCCTTTTGTTGAGTTTTTGCCTCTGTGAAAAGCTTGCTTTAAATTATTCGCCCTTGGCTGATCTTGATCTTCGTCTGCGTCTTCGTCGTCTTGGTTTTAGTCCTGGCCTCTGGCTCTAATCTGCTTAAGCGGCACGCGATTAGCCCAATGCCTCTGAGGAAACCTAGCTGGCTGTTGGTTAAGTTACGCGTGGGGCGATTAAAATGATCCCACTTGAATTTAATTTGAGCTGCCTCTGTAAAAGGCATACTCTAAGCAGGCTTAGTTAGGGCTAAGTGAAAGAGAGGCCGAAAGCGAGAGAGAGAGAAAGAGAGAGAGAGCTGTGCTGGGCATGAGTGGTTAAAGCTGCAGCTTTGAGTGGAGGCCACAAAGTGTTTGATATTTGCCCAATCAATCGCAGAGTCTACTTACAGGACAATTACATCATAAAAGTTCAGTTGGTTCAATAGATGAATGAAACAATTGCACTAAAAGCACCCCGCACTGAACAACCCTTGCACCGTGGTTCGGGTTCGGGTGGTGCAGCACAGACACAAACGACATGTACCCACAGGTACTTCACGCAAATCACAAAGCGGCAACAATGGCCAGCGCCATAAACGGCCAGCCATGAGTGCTGCTGCTGATGAGGATGTGCCTGCTCATAATAACAACTGTCACACTGCCAAAGAGAAGGTAAAGGACAGAGAGCCAGAGAGAAAGAGAGAGAGGGAGAGAGAGAGTGAGAGAGACAATAGAGAGAGCGTTTGGCAGGTAGCCGCTGAGAGCGAGCCTCAACGGAAAAAGACCATAAAATCTCAGAGGCGAAAAGTTGAGAATGAGCATGAGCGACGGCTGCTCAATGAATTTTTCGCAATGGCAGCCGCTGCTGCAGGATCATAAATCGCTGCCACGGCAGCCAGCGCGTTAGAGGCAATGCGTGCGAGCGAGCAGACAATAGCTGGCCAACCCTCTCTGGCTGGGCAGCGCAACGACCAATAAACGCGCGCGGCTGCTACCTAGGGGTGATCGACTGTTCGTTGAATGGCACGGCAGCAGGATTGAGAGCAGGACTATTAAAACAGGAGCTGGGTGGTGAGCAGACAACACAATCATCCGTGATCTCAACGAGTCCACTTCGCTCGTCCACGTCGTCGTCGTGTAGTACGCCAAAAAACAGAAGTTCGACTCAAGCCTTCAGAGCTGAAAACTCTCAAATCGAAACTAACGAACATAAATTTGAAAGCAATTTGAAAATTGCGCCAAGTGAAAAGTGTGTGTGTGTGCTTTTATTCTGCTGAAATTGTGCCTAATAAATCGCCAAAATTACGCCCCACATCGGTATGCAATCGTCGGAGGGTTCGCCAGACATGATGGATCAGAAATACAACAGCGTTCGGCTGTCGCCAGCTGCATCCAGTAAGTATTGGTTCCACCTAACGTAGTTGAGGAGCAAACTCCATCCCGACTCCATTCAAGAGAAACAAACTAACTCAAACTTTATTTCTTCTGTTTCCTTCAGGTCGCATCCTGTACCATGTGCCGTGCAAGGTCTGCCGGGATCACAGCTCCGGCAAGCATTACGGCATCTATGCCTGCGATGGTTGCGCTGGCTTCTTCAAGCGCAGCATCCGACGCTCTCGCCAGTACGTGTGCAAGTCACAGAAGCAGGGACTCTGCGTCGTCGACAAGACGCACCGTAATCAGTGCCGCGCCTGCCGACTGCGCAAGTGCTTTGAGGTGGGCATGAACAAGGATGCCGTGCAGCATGAGCGCGGACCACGCAACTCAACGCTGCGCCGTCACATGGCCATGTACAAGGATGCCATGATGGGTGCCGCCGAGATGCCGCAGATACCGCCAGAGATACTCATGAATACAGCTGCATTGACTGGATTTCCCGGCCTTCCGATGCCCATTCCGGGCGTGCAACGTGGACACCATCACGGCGCACTGAATGCCGCCTTCCAGCCCCCACCGCCTGCTGCCGTACTTGACCTTTCGGTGCCGCGTGTGCCACACCACCCTGTGCACCAGGGCCATCACGGCTTCTTCTCACCCACCGCCGCCTATATGAATGCGCTGGCCACCCGGGCGCTGCCACCGACGCCGCCGCTAATGGCCGCCGAGCATATTAAGGAAACGGCTGCGGAGCATCTTTTCAAGAACGTGAACTGGATCAAAAGTGTGCGCGCCTTCACCGAGCTGCCTATGCCCGACCAGCTGCTGCTGCTGGAAGAGTCCTGGAAGGAGTTCTTCATCCTGGCCATGGCGCAGTATCTCATGCCCATGAACTTTGCCCAGCTGCTCTTCGTCTACGAGTCGGAGAACTCCAATCGCGACATTGTGAGCGTTGTTGCCCGCGAGGTGCACGCCTTCCAGGATGTGCTGAACCAGCTGTGTCATCTGAACATCGACAGCACGGAGTACGAGTGCCTGCGTGCCATTTCGCTCTTCCGTAAGTCGCCGCCTGCTGCTAGCTCGACTGAGGACCTGGCCAACAGCTCCATACTAACTGGCAGCGGCAGCCCCAACTCCAGTGCCTCGGCTGAGTCTCGTGGTCTCCTGGAGTCCAACAAGGTGGCGTCCATGCACAACGATGCCCGCAACGCACTCCACAACTACATCTCGCGCACGCATCCCAACCAGCCGCTGCGCTTCCAGACGCTGCTCGGCGTCGTCTCTCTGATGCACAAGGTGTCCAGCTTCACGATCGAGGAGTTGTTCTTCCGCAAGACCATTGGCGATATAACCATTGTGCGTCTCATTTCGGACATGTACAGCCAACGCAAGATCTGAGGCCCAGTCTAAGTTGAATTGCATCGAAGTCGGAAGGACTTGCATTGCCGTCGGCAAGACCGCGTCCGCGCACTTGAAGTGCCTTCGTAGTGCTGGAAACTGTGATATCTGAAAGTTGAATTGGAGTTGAGGAGTTGGGAGCTGGGAGCTGGGAGTTGAGGAGGTTGACGGGTTACACTGGCTGAGACAGTGACAGTGACCATTGGACAATATTCAACAGTGAACTGCTGCAGAAAGCTTACAAATCTCTTGGATCTGAGCCTTAAAATGTATTCGTTATACGTACATCTTTTTCACAACGTGATTCGAAAAAGTTGAAACTTTTTTTTTTTAAGTTTTATTATAATACATTAGTACATATCATATATGTTTAATAAAATTAGCATAGAAAAAATACAAAATATATAAAAATATAAATAGCTAAAGCTACTCTCAAAACAAAAACAATTTGGTGAATTATTTAATGGGTATATCGTTTCATATCTTGGAATAAGGGTGTACATTTAGATGTAATCTTATGTAGATAAAATATATTTACTGATGTCTGTGATATATAAAAATATAATGTTAGATATTTGTTGGCATAGAATTCATTGAGATGTTTTTTATTTCCAACGTTGCAATCAATCTAAATAGGTTTAGTTCGGTTTAAAATAAAGGCCTTGGAATTATTATAAATTTCACAAAGTACATTTTATCGTTTAATATTTCTTTAGAAGACAAACAAGTAAATTATTTATAATTTTATTTATCTTAGATTTTACCATGCTACAAACTTTTCTTCAGAGGTAACTGTGAATTTTCTTTTCTTATTCAATTATGCGAAATTCTCGATATTAAAATTTATTTATAAATTTTTTATTAGACTGACATTCGATATAATCTTAAACTAAAAACTATTTAGCCTTTTAAACGACTTCTTCGGGGCTCCCAAAAAAGTCGTAGGACCAACCGCAGTGCCCGTCAAGGTAATCTAAAATGCATTATGCAAATCCTCGAACAAAAGATCAGCTGCACTTGGGACTGAAATCAAACAAATTAGCATAGTTTTTCCACATCAACAAACCAAAGTCGGGATTAATTTGGAATGGCAGTTGGCTTTAAAATGGCCGCTCCAAATCGCTGTCCCCTCGACTGGGCCGATTCTCTGCCCTTGGCCTAGATGCCTGGTTGCCTGGCTGCGTACAAAACAGAATTCAAAAAGTTAAAAAGCAAAAATTCACTTTTGATGACTTTGTCGAGCGGCGTTGGATCGCTGCTATGTCCATGGCAGACAATAGCAATTGAATCCTTTGGCAATGGCACATGGAACCGGGCATGCCATAATGTATGTAGTATCCCTTCGACTGAAGGCTGAACAAACAAGGAACGAGGAAAACAGTTGCCAATCGCTTTGGCTGGCTGCTGCAAAATTGTTGAAATTGCGTTGGCCAAAGTAAATAGAAATGTTGAATGCATCCATACAAATATATCCTCTATATAGAGATATATATGTGTGTGTGTGATGTCTATGGCACTGACACACATTCAGTTTCAGGAGCATAGTGCAAAAACCTACCCTAACCCGTAGCACCCATAGCTCAATGCTTGCGGGGATTTGGAATTAAATATGCTTCGTTGCTGCTGCCATTTCGACTTTGCCAAGGTCCATGCTCGACTCTGCTTGGATGCTGCAGATGCTGTTGTTGTTGTTGTTGTTGCTGCTGTTGAATCCGGCACAAATTTTGTTGTCTCTGAGGGCACAAAGCGTTTCGACTGCTGCCGCTGGGTTGTTGAGCCCTTTTAAGTCCTAATGGCCCTTTATTATCTGCCTTTAGACTTTTAATAGACTCAGAGGCGACGACGACGGCTGTGTGTATGTGTGTGCAATTGTGGTTGTTGTTGTTACAGTCGTAGTCCTAGCTGTGCGCCTGTGTTGGTTTAATCCTCATCATTCTGTCATCAGTAACGTTTTTCTGCACATTGTTGGCTTTGCATTGTTTAGGTCTTAATTTGTAGTTTTCCCTTTTTTCGCATTCGCAATAAAAAGAGAGAAAATTTTCACTTATTGATTTCCTCTGGCGAAATGTGGAGCAAGCCCTGACTAAGCCATTGGCTCTAATTGAAATCCTTGATTAAGCCACCAACCAGCCGAGGGACTAACTTGTGTCACAAGCTTTGGGCCCGTTCGGTCGACTTGAACTGCTTTAAATCAGCTCAGGACTGAACTTCAACTCCCTCCCAGCGTTGGGTGGGTGTGTGGGCTAAGCCGGAGCCAGCTCAGATCAATCGCTGCTGCAACTCTTCAGCTCAAGTGGCTCTGCGGCCAGAACTTCGTCGGAATCTGGCCCGAAGCTGGCGGATTTTCGGTAACACTTTTAATTCATAGATTTTCGTTGATTAAGTAATCCGCGTCCTCAATGAAGGGCGACGTGCGTGATTAACGCAATTCGCGTAAGCGAATGCCGCAGATCCGCAGATCCGCAGACCTGCTTACCGGGGCAGGTGTGGAAATACACGTATCCCTGCGTCTGTGGCAGGTTTTCGGCTAGCTTAGCTCCGACGACAGGTCTCGATGTGAGCCGAACTCCGATTGCCATTCCGAGTTCGAGTCCGAGTCTGAGTTCGAGTCCGAGCTCGATGTCTGTGTGGATCATTGCGTTGGCTAGGCGGTTATCCATGCGCAATTACCTAGCGAAACAAAAATATGAGTATGCAAATAGATTTTAATGGGCTGGATTACCCTTTTGCTAAACGCTCAAATCCTGGCCGGGCGGTCGACAAGGCCGCATCATGGGCCATTGTTTTCAAATATAATGAGAATGTCTCTAAGCCAAAATATTAAACATCCGTGCGATCCTTGCCAGCAAGCCGCAAGACGCAAGCTGCAAATCCGGCTTCCGTTTGCCTCATTGTTGTACCTGAAGTCAGTCCCAGGACGAGTTGGTTCGAGTTGCTCGGCCAACCGAACGGCAGCCAGTAGAAGTCAAAGCGGTACCAGGGCGGCGTTGTTTTTGTAAATTGAGTAGCTCGATTTATCGCCAGATCAATTTCCTATATCTGCCGCACAGATAAGCGCGCGAGCGGGAGGGAGATAATATACATACACATATTCATCTTCTCTAATTCTAATTGTTGTATGGCTTATGGACTAGAGACTAAGCCTCGGCCCAGCCCCGCAGCCTGTACGGCAGCTTAACTTACTTTAGTGGGCAAATGGCTGTTTTTCAGTGGAAAATTCGATTTGCATTTTCGCAAAGGCTCCGAGGCAGTGGCATTGTTGTTAGCGCTTAGCTAGTTAATTTGACGTTTGGACGTATCTAATGATGTTTATTAGCAGAACTAGTGCAACGCACTAGCAGCTGCTCCGAAGCAGAATCAGCTGCACATCACAAGATCAGATTCCCATAGCTGAGCTGACAATCAAAATCAGTGAAGCGTTTGCTAATCAAAAATACTTGGCACATTGGCACATCCTAGCGTCTTTTATGCTCTTAAGTACTTGATGCCCGAGTCTAAGTCTACGTAAATCTTCATTTTTTTATTGTTACAATCTGCGCTGGGCACAATAGGGCCCGAGGGCAGCTGATGAGTGGACCTCCTGGAGGTGAGAAAAATATTGAGGGCAAATCGCGACGATCCCAACGAACAAAGGCTACCGGGCTTCGACTGATACTTGAGAGCTCAAGAGCAACTTGCGTTTAACCTCAAGAAAGTTGCAATTGCCCGCATCTCGGAGATCCACGGAGAGTGTTTCGCTCGAATTCAGCTTCGAATATTGACAGGCAAAACAAGTGTTATGCGATCAGCGGCGACAGTTTTATATGGGCATGTCGAGGATTATTACTTTCTGATGCTCAATCAAAAGCTGAGCCTTGCTGGACCACCAAGACGACGGAGCGTTGTGTGTGTTCCAACTCACTCCATTCCTCTGTCTCCCTCTCTCTCTCTCTCTCTCTCTCTCTCTTTGGTATAGGGGCTTAGTATGGGAAACTTAAGCGCTGCCAGTATTGCCACACAACTGCTTGCATTTGCTGCATGCAATCGACTGTAGGAAGTCCTGTGCGCAGGAAGCTGTTCCTCTGCGGCTGCCTCGGGGCAACTGATGACGTCGCAGCCTAATTGAATTTGTTGCCTTTCCATTTGATGTTGTCTTTAAATTTGCTTTTTGTTGTTAGCATAACAAAGCCGACGACCGCTCACTGCCCCGAGGCGCTAGTCGACTGCGTAGATAGTTCATTAGGGTAACTCGCAATCTGTCTGGAAAAAAAAGAAGACATCATCCAATCCAAACGCAATGTCAAAATGGCGTCGCAGCTGCCTAGAAGTGCTTATTATATGGCGAGCTATGCATTTGTGTGACGATAGACTATTATTTAAGTAGACGGAATATTTCATTTAATTAAGCTGTTACACGAGTCCCCCCAGCCGCTGTGAGGCCCCAACCCAGGGAAAAACCTATTCGAGCACCCCTCTTGATGGTCGGGAAAAGTTTGAAACTTTTCAACTTCCGGTCAATAAAGCAGGTGGTCATCAGGTGCATGGCGCATCCGTGAATGAAGCTATTATCGTATCACGCAAGTCCCGTACACGTACAAGTCCTGGGAACACGGCCCAAGTTGACCCGCAACGCTAAAAAGTGAAAAGCAGTCGCGTCATCATTGCAGCTTGAAGCGCAGCGGTGGCGGTGGCGGTGGCAGCGGCGGCTGTGGCTTGCACCACCTTTGACCAGGAGCGTCATCAACAACATCAGTAGGGCCATATGTCAAAATAACGAGCGCTCAGACCGAGCCACCCCAGAGGCGTAACGGTAATTTGGGCAACCCTGTGCTGCTGCTGCATTCCAAAACAGAGGCGACCGTGCACCAAGTGCATTGCAAATATTGAAAGGGAACGAGAAGGGGGGAGGGGGGCTCGTAACGGGCCTTCGAGCACTTGAAAATGTAACAAATCGACTTTGACAAAGCTTCGAGCCCAGCAACAGCCGCAGTCGCAGCCGCAGCAGCAGCACACACGGCGTATGGGAAAGCTGTCGTTCGTGTGATTTGGGCGAGGTTGCCACTTGAGCCACCCAAGTGGCCACTTTTACACTATACAGCAGCAACTCGAGACCAACTCACACCGAAAAGTGTATTAGTTATATGTTTGCGCTCCCAGGATATGGAGCGAAAAAGAGAGAGAGAGAAGCAGAAGGAGTGTATGTGTGTGCTAAAACAAAAGGGGTTGTTAGTTAGAGGTATGTGGCGGATATTGGCAAACCAATTTTGGAGAGCCTTTGTTTCGCTGAACGTCGCGAGTAAGCCACAAAGGATCAACAATGCTCGAGAATTATTTTGTAGAGCCAGCAAGCCGAGCCACTTGGTGGACTGCTGTAGAAACATTAATACTTTCCACAGAGGCAACTTTGTTTCCAACTCTCGAGTGGCTATTGGCAATGCAACTGGCGACAACGATCGCTCGAGCCCGGCCAGAGCGCGCCACGGCTCACCTTAGAGCCAAATGACGACAGCTGTCAGAATGCGGCAACAACAAAATCAACTTCAATTTTATGATTATGTATTACTACAACTACACACACACACACACATATAGGCGACCTATAATTCATTACAATTCTTTTTTATCGAAGCCATTTTGTCAAATAAAAGGGATTTGTGGCATAATCCGCAAATGGGACGCGCAAAACTGTCAGGGAGTCTGCGGCTGCGGCGATTCGGTGACAAACTAAACACTAAACTATCCTCTCGAAAGGCGGGGCGCCTGACATACTGACATCACAATTGACGAGAGGCGAAACAACAGCTGGTTAACTGACTGCCATTGACAATGGGAGATAAAAAACCGAACGCTTTTCAATTTGCTCTAGCATACAGATTAGAGCCAGAGCCAAAGAGAGAGAGTAGAATGGAGTTGGAAAGGGAGAGCGATCAACTGCATATACCCTGTAGGTGAGCGGAATTTAAGCGCTTACATGGGAACTAATTTCTGAAGTACCCTCAAACACTTCATAAAATATTTGCATCAGTCTGCGGCAAGCGCGCGACAGCCCGCTGCGGGGATTAGCCGTACAGCAAACATGGCGACAATCATGATAGAGAAAAAATGAAGAGAGTTAAGCTAGTTAGAGAAGACACTGGGGTGCCGAAGGCCAAATACCCTTGCCAGAAATTCATGTATGCAGTGCATTAATATGTATTTCTCGTAAAGCAACTCAATTTCCACAAAATCCCTTTACGAAACGGGAAATTAAAAAAAAAAATCCTCTAAAAAATTAAATCAATAAATTTTTAAAAGTTTATGAAATTACATGTACACTTAGAGCTTTGGATATGTATTTAAAATTAAGTAAATTTTGAATATATCTTTAATTTTTATTGACTTAAAATTAAATAATATTACAGAAATCTCTTGAAATATTCTTCTACACAATATTATCTAAATAAGATCACAAATAGCTCGAATGGAAATATTTTGATATGAATATAAAGACAGAATATATAAAGAATAATGATTTAATTATTATTTTCATTATGTATATTAATAGTATACTTATTAATCAACTATATTATTATTTATAAGTAGACTCTCTACTCTCTTGCTTCTTAGCATTGGATGATCTGATTACAAATTCCTTCTCGCAACTATTGTACCTTCTCTTAGAGTATCAGAACTCACGTTCCGAGTGGAACTCGTATCTAACGGATCGCGTTAGGTGGCACTGACTTGGCGTGGCTTGTCAGCTTCATGTGGGCTGCTGCTGCTGACATATTCCTTGGGGTGGCAATCGAATGTAAACAGTGATGCGCCTGGCCTACGGGTTGAGCCTTGGTCCTGCGCGTGCTGCGACTGAGCTGCTTAAAAAACTAACTATTACCCGTCACTGTTTACCATACGGATCACACTTGAGAACCGTTGACAATGTTGCGCCAGCAGCTGAGATGCGCTACAGTTGGGTCGACTGCGATGGTAGGGCAGTGAACTGCTCTCTAGAGCCGGCTGGAAAATGCTTTGTGCGTTGGCTCGTTTAATTTTAATGAGTGTGTGTGTCGCTGGCTGTCTGTCTGTCTGTCTGACTGGCTGGCTGCCAGCTAGTTTTGGTGGTCTGATGAGCCGTTAGCTGACCCGATCCTATGCAACTGTTTCCGTTTCTGGACTCGTTTCAATTGTCTATCTCTATATGTTTTTAGGGGTGGCTGGCGGCACCCCCTGGTGCGATTTGTAGATGCGCTATGTAAATTGTCACATTATTGTCATAATTCTCAGGCAAATGAAAATGGGAAAATCATCAACATGAAAATACTTATGACATAATTTGTGCTTTGTTGTGGTTAATTGCCACAGTTTTGTCGATTTATGGGGCGTGAGATTAACGAGGAAAGAACAACAATAGCTGAAGCTCATTTCAGCACTTCATTTCACATATGATTTACATGCTCAGAGCAATGCACTCACTGAAATGTTGGCGAAAAAATATGATATGAAATAAACAATAACTAAAACCGAATTTACAGCTAGTATTGAGCAACTTCTTGGAAAACAATTCCGAATATTTTCTCAGACATATCAAAGATCTTAAGAATCTTGAAAGACTTTAGCCTCAGCCAATTAACTGCAACTCAATGAACTGAAAAATCGCGCAATGCAAAAGCCTTAGCCACTGCAACCGAAATAAGTAGAAATCTGCTATCATATCATCCTAACAAGTATCTGACGCATCTCTTTGGTGTCTGCTCGGAAAGCCGAAATAATTGAAACCAATTAGTTTCGAAAAACCTTTTAATTGTGTATTTTCAATGCCCGTCGGAGCATGTGTAAATATTTTCATAGCCAGCAAAAACCAGGAGCACAATGCGCACAAAGCCAGACGAAAAGTAAAATGGGAGAATAGAAAACGGAAAATGGAAAATGGGAAACAGGCAACATGTGAGAACATGGCAATGACCAAAATAATCCAGTGCATGAAAGGAAAGAAAAATCGAATGCAGTTTCAGCTGAAAAACGTAAGAAATTGCCAAATAATTGCAGGCGGCTAGAAAAACTGGCCCGCAGAATGCAAAAGAAAAGCGAGACAGAGAAAAGAAGAAAAGAAAAGCGAGGCATAAAGACAAAAAATCAACCGCAGACTTTTGTTTTGCAAGTAGAAAGGAAAACTGTTGCCAACTGTCGATGGGCTGTCAAAACTGATGTCGATTGAGCTGCTGCTGCTGCTGCTGCTGCTGTTGTTGTTGTGGACTGAGTCGGGAATTGTTTCTGGGCCTGGTTTCCAAGAGCTAATGTTGGCCAATATTGCGCAGGCGGAGGAAATATTAACGGCATTCTATTAACAGGCGAGCATTACGTCGAATGTGAGGGCACTTTATCCATTCATTGTTGATTTATTTACTTTTTGATTTTATGTCGGTTGCAGTTAATTGGCTACGTTTTGTTGTCAGTCTGTGAGGCTAAGACGGCGGGTCGGTAAACAAATTATCAGTCTTTCGACTCAACATTGCGACATTTCGCATGTAATCAGGATGTGATTAGCTGCAGTTGGCATTGCGTTAATCTCTACTGCATATATGCACATAGGTTTTAGTTCTCTTAAAGACCTTCCACCTTTGCTCCAAATTCCACTGGCATTATTACCAGCAATTTGCCCAATTTTGAATACACTTCCATTCGATATGCTACGATTTCGATTTCCAAATCTTTCATTATGTTTTTTGCATACTAATGCCATTTTAAATGAAATCAATAAGCAGCTACGCTTGGCATGCTAATTATGATTGGCATATCATTACCAACGAGTAGCCACACAACAACAACTACACATTTGGCTAATTAAGCAGTTGAAGTCGCCGCCAGCCACAATTCACCTGTGAAAAAGGTTGAAGACAACAAAAACAACGAACCGCGAATATGTTTTAAAGAGAAGTAGAGCTTGGTAATTGGGAGCTGGCGATACCTCACTCGATATACGCGAAGTAAACACTTGAGATTAATTTAAGGTATGAAATATCAAATCGATTATAGCTGAGCAATTGGCTGATGATGTTGATTTATTGTCGCGTCATGCGCTGACAATGTTGAGTGGAGCGGAACTGGAACTGACTCGTATTGAAAAATAAAACTGGAACTGTCTTTAGCTGCTTGGCTTGTTTGTCTTTTCATTGACTCATGATTGTTATTGCCTGTCAAACTCTTGCACTTTGACTTGCCCCAGCAGGTCCGGCACACACACACTCACACATACTCACACACACTCTCGAGCTGCCTGCAATCACAATGGTGTACAATTACTCGCATTTATTGGCCATTTGTCGCCGCGTTGGCTATTCCCTGTTGTTGTTGTTGTTGCTACTGCTGCTGTTGCTGTTGCAATTAATAATTCACTTGTTGGACTGTCATATACGAATCGTATCCGTTGACAATGAAAATGTGATTATATTCAACAAGACATGAACATTTTTAACAATTTTATAATGCTGCTCAATCGTATTTGGCTAAGAATGGTATCATAGGTTCTTGGCCTATGCATTTTTCAAGGCAAATAATATACATATGACGAATTCTCTTCTTCTATACAACTATATGCAGTTCAGTTTGTGAATTTACGTATATATAAAATATAAATAAAATATATATTTACTTAACACTCTCATATCTGTAAAATTTATATTATTATTTCCAGTAAAGTAAACAGTATGTAGTAGTCCATCACTCAGCAGAAACATCTAATTTACTTGGCTTATATGAAATATTGTTAACTTGGAATAATTAAAGTGTAAACTGCTTTCAATTAATGACTCACTTGGCCAATAGCCGCAATGTGACACATGAGAAAATATATTTATGTTGACCTTCTTCTCCATCACGTTGGAGCATTAGCGATGATCGTTTGATTTTTATGCCAAATAAAATAAAAACCACATATCATTCAATTATTTTGATATCTCTGTGTAGAAATAAACTGCAGCTGTAAACGAGTTTCTTGTGTTTATTTAATCTAGTAATTGCTAAAAAGTTTTCAGCTCTATGCAACCGCTTAAGCTGCGCATGTAAATCTCTGTATGCTATCTGCTTGATCGGCATGAGAATGGCTCCATGGTTGGGTTCAATGCACGTGTCCTGCCTTCCAAGGTTGGAGCTGTCAAAACAACTTTCGAACTGCAACTGGATAGTGTGGAAATCGTGTGCTGTAATCAAGGCCAAGAAGATCGCTGGACCGAAGGTGTGGACCCTATCGCAGATTTAACTGCGGCCTGACAGCCAAGACAGCTCGATCTGGCCTGACTTGGCTTGCATTGGCTTGGCAATGTGTAGACTGCAGCCACACTTCCAGTTTTTCCTATCAACGTCAGCGACATGCGGAAGTCTAAAATGCGAAAACCGCTACGCATGCGCCAGAAACTTGTTTCTGGCCTGGCCAGGCCCGGCCCGGCCCGGCCCGGCCCAGACACGCACTTGGCTTGGAGCACAGCCAGGCCCGATACGCAATGCACTTGACCTTGATTCCGTGTTTATGGCTGCACTTCAGTGTGGGGACTGAGAGACGGCGGCTGGAAAACTGGTCCAGTGACACCAAGAGCAATTACTCGCGAGGCTAAGCCGTAGGCTGAATCAAAGTCAAAACTATTTTAATGGCATTACGAATGAAAGTGAAATGGAAACCTCGACTGAAATATCTAGCAGATGCGCAATTAGCGCTTACATACACATATCCAACATTCATAGCTCGATAAGCGCGTAATTATTCATCCTTCTGTGTGCTTCTCTCAAATTACAATTCATCGAAAAACGGACTGACTTTTGAGGAAATCTGGCTGTCGGGTCATTCATGAGTCAGTCACTTGGCTATCAAATCACCATCTATATACGAATCCTGTGAATCATTAGGGCTTATCCTATCTCTAACTCACTCTCTGTCTCTCTCTCCTCTCTGTCTCTCACCCGCTCTCTCTCATATATGAGTATATCGTATCGTATTTCCTTTAGCGCTCTCAACAAGTTTAGCGAGTTTCAGTTTGACTTCTGGGCGATCAGTCGGCGCTGATAAGCGTTTAGCATTCAATTTTTTGGCCGAGCAAATTGAGAGCTGAGAGCTGAGAACGTTGGCGAACAAAGGACTAGATTGTTAACCTTCTAACAGCCAAGTGGGATTGGGGATGTATGTGCGAGTGTGTGTGTATGTGTGTGTGTGCACAATGCGAAAGAGTCGACATCAGCGTTGACTCGCTCGATTTTATTCAAACGCTCGACTGCATCTTAAATTACAAATAATCGCAATTGTCTGTGCCTTTCGGCTTGAATTTGGATTTGGATTTGGGTTTGAGTTCGGGTAGTGGCAGCAGCTGAAATAATTGAGAGACAACGCAAAATGCAGAGAAATGATATGTTATGTTAATATATATATACACATGAATGTATTTATACATTTTGCATGCAATTTGTACAAAATGGATGGGCAACAACCCCTCAACCTCAACCTCAACCCTCATTATMATTGTGATTAACTCGCCAGAAGTGAAAGCATCAAAATAAAAGCGTTGCGCGTTGCACACAATAAAAACAACAACGGGGCAAATGCAAAATTCGAAAAACGAAAAAAAATATCAAGAGCGCAGCCCCGTTGTTGCTCTGGGTGGCAGTATCGTCACATCGGCATTAGGCGAACGCCTCGAAATCAAAAAGGCAGCTCAAGGAACTGGCAATAGTTTTTGATCGGACTGTCGAGCCGGCAGGCAGCAGAGGCGGGCAGGGCGAGGGCTGGGCAGGGGTTGGGTAAACAACCCTCCCAACTATGTATGTGAATTGTCGCACCCTCTGGCTAATCCAAATGAACAGAAATGTAATGCTGGCTGCCGCCCCAGTTCCTGGCCTTCACCAACGCCATTCGCTGCTGTTGTTTGTCAACTGATTTAATTTCCTGAACTGCCGCCGCTGCCACTTTCCGAGTGCCCGATTCTGCCCGCCTGCTGTGAGAGGGCGTGCCATGTTTCTGGTGTGTATTTCTGGTCGCTCTAATGACAATAACAATGATGGCGACTTGCAAAAGGGCAAACTTCTTAAACGCACTGCAATCGAAATGTTTAGCACTTCAAACTGTAGCAGACCACATGCGGCTGCTTAGTGCCGCCCAAACGATTCCAGGTTGAGCTTAATGCCGATGCGTATGTATAATATGCATACGCTGCTCATTAGAATATGTAAAACGCTCTCAGATCGCGTAATTATCGCTAAGTACTAACACATATGCACGTGTCGCCAGCTAGGCGCTCAAATCCAAGCCATTGGCCATAAATTATGCAAAAGCTGGCGTGGGTGGGCGCTCCAAATGCAGCAGAGCAGCAACAACAACAAAGGCTGCAACATATGTATGCAAYGGCAGCAACAACAACAACTGCTGCCAGCTGTTGGCCATAAAGCAGCTCAAACAATGCCTTTTACTGACGGCTTCTCAAACAACGATAAATTATTGAAGCCAAGCGCAAAGTCAAACAAGTCAAAGACATTGCGCCAACTACAACAACTACAACAACTGCAACAACAACAGCAACATTGGCAAAAACAACTTAAAGTATTTTATGAACCGCTCAGAACTGTTGCCAAGTGCTGACCACACCACAAAGCAAAACTTGTACAAAAAGCTCAGCTCAAGATATAAATCAGCATTTGCGATTGTTAATGCCTATTTATAATACTAACCAGCAAATGCGAGCACAACAGACAACATTTACAGCAATTGCAGCAACAACAACAACAATCAATGAGCAACACCCGCGCTTATTGCATGTAATCGCAAATTTCTTAATCCTAATCCGACTCGTGGCTCGTCAAATATTCAAACAGTTCTGCTCAGCACATATAATACTCTGGGAATAAAATAAAGTAATGAAAAGACAATATGCCTGTATGTCTTTCAGTTTGTTATATGAAAATACCCAAGAGTAATGTTTAAATTGTCTATATTGCGCAGAACTTTGGAATTGTGATTCTCATTGAACTGGGTGAAGTGCTACGATCTCGACCTAAATTGAAGAATTAAAGTGCAGCAATCCTAATTATTTATTAAAAATATAAAAAAATTATTTATTGTATATTTTTTTATGGCATGAAAAAATGGTATTAATTTTTATGAGCAGTTCAGTTTGCTTATTAATATTAAAATAATAGTATTTAATTATTAAATACAGAGTTATGTATATACGAGTTTTAGAAATTGTATAATAATATACATTCAAAATAATGTAATGTAATATTTTATAAGTAAGTTCGATTTTAAGCATAAACTAGACTAAATTTACTTTACTTTACTTTGTGTTTAATTCAATTTTAAAGTACTAGTATAATAACATAATGCAAACAATATTTATATTATACCCTAAGTAGAAATAATTATACAGAGTACCTCAAATATAGCAAAATAAAAAGTGCATACAGACTTCAACTAAATCAGATACAGACATCTCCATAGATTTGTTTGATTGTTTGCAGTTTGTTTGAATTTTTGTTTTTGTTTTTGGGTTGGGTTCGGATCTGGTCATGTGCAATGAATTGGTGAGCGTAGCCAATTTGATTGGCCAAATGAAATGATTGCCACAAAATTGCATCATGCACTTCGCTGGCAGAACATCGCAGCAGGGATATCAATTGGCATAGAGTATCGGGCTCGGCTACAGTTCAGGCTTGAACTTTTTTAATGCACAAATAATTAAAAAATAGTTTAGCCAGAGCATAGAAAGCAAAAGTGGACGCTAAAAGCGAAAGAGCGCAAAACTGGTAAAACAGCTTGCCGCAGCAGCAGCAGTGGCAGCAGCAGCAGCAACAACAACAACGAGAGTTGACTTATTGGAGCACTTAGCTCAATTCTTGTTATTGTTACTGTTAATAATACCAACACAAGCAAACTCAATTACAACAACAGCAACAGCTACAGCTATAGCAACAAGTCGGCCAGCTACCGCCTAGGCGGGCCATGAGTTTAGCCCGAGCCGTAGCCGTTCCAAGGTTTTCCCAGCTGGCTGGCACTATAAAAGCTTGGGCGGCACCATTGCGGAAGGCAGTTGACTTACAAAATCCATAGCCGTCGGTCTGACACTCTGGCTAGTGTCGCATTCGATATACAGTAACAACTCCTTGTTAACGGACTATAACAGCGTAAAGGCACCAAATCGCGTGTGATTCCGTCTGAGCGTGCAGTTTACGTAGTAGCTTATCAAGGATAACCCCAAAACAAAATGTTTCGCTTCGTGAGTCTCCATAGTGTGTTTGTGTGTATGGGTGATAGCTAATGGTCATCTCTTTATCTTTTGCTGGTGCAGCTCGCATTAACCACACTCGTGACCCTGGCAGTGGGCCAGAACTATCACCAGGATCCCAAGACGGCGGCCATCATCAGTGAGCAGCGCTATTTGTCTGGCGATGGTAAATTCGGTGCCGCCTACACACAGGAGGATGGCATCAACTTCAAAGAGGAGACAGACTCCGATGGCACACGTCACGGTAGCTACAGCTACGTTGATCCTTCCGGACAGCGTCGCACCATCTCCTACACTGCGGGCAAGAATGGGTAAGAGCTCCAGTAAAATCAATAGTTACTCGTTCACTATAATGTTTGCTCCCTGCCATAGATTCCAAGCGTCTGGGGATCATTTGCCAGTGGCCCCACCTGCACCACCACAGCCCGTGCCCACCGCCGGCTATCAGCCACAGTCACAGTACCAGCCACAGCCGTACCAGGCCCCCGCAGCCCAGCCCTCGTACCGTAGCAACGACTACGATGACGGCTCGTACGATCCTCGCTACAACGATCCCGCCTTCGGCCAGCAGCAGCAGTCGTATCAGCAGCCCGCTCCTCAGCCGCAGTACCAGCAGCCACAGCCACAGCCCTACTATACGACGACCACGCCCAATCCCCACCGTTTCTCGCCGCCCGGCAAGCTGTCGCTGAACCGCACACCCGACGGTTTCACCTACTCGTTCAACAAGGTCTAAGCGATGGAGAGAGAACCACATAGATTGAGCTTGTTTCTATTGTAATGTTACGTAATCCTTCATTTATTCACACCCAACACGAAACACTCTTCTCTCACTCTGTCCCCTCTCTTTCTCTATCTCTGTAACTGGCTGACTCTAGCTCTTTCTTTTCTTAAACTCTGTCAACCACTTACTGCTGTTCCAGTTCTTACCTTCATCAAAACTCTTTTGTGATATGTTTAAGAAAGAAAGTAGAAGTGTTGCATAAATTCTGCAGCAGTTTAACCTTTACCTATATATAGATATATATATTTATATATGAATGTCGTACCTCCTATCTACGAATCTGTATGTAGTATGTCTAGCAGTTTTTGTTTGTAATTTATAAATAACTACTTCTCAATGCTGTTAAATCCAACTCCACTCTCCTCATGTGAAGCGAAACCAATAAATTTGTAAGTGTGTTTGCGGTCAAAGATGATGAAGAAGAAGACATTGATCAAATGAATTCTAGAAATCTTTTAATGCTAGATCGTAATACCCACCATGGGCCACGGGACGTATTAGCAATTTTTTTGTATTTTGTATTGTACCATAAACAATTTATATAGTCTTTTAAGCAATACACAATATTTCAAACGTACCGCCAGTAATCGCTTATCGTTTTTTTATTCGCAACAAGTTTTGCTTTTTATTATTATCTTCAGTTATTTTTATTTTGGTTTGGGCGTGTGGCGTTTACGAGTAATTTGATTTTTAACAGATTTATCTAAACACCTTGCCCGGTTGACGCCCCCATGCACATTGCACAACCTGCAAAACTGTTGTTATACATAACACATACTAGTCGATACACTGGCAAACAAGTTTCTGCTTCGATTCTATGCAACAAACAAGGAAAGGCACAAAACTGGTTAAGCTTAGGCAAAAAACATGGCCAATTGTGAAAAAGCAAATGAAAAAAGTTAAAGATAAAAATAGATTTGGGACCAGCTGAATTCCAATGAAAATCGAAATTGAATTCCTCCCACACCTCCAGGCTAAAGAACCGGCAAAGCTATGTGAACTCAGATCCGGATTTGTATTTATAGATATACATATAAGTACTGTATCATGTTTGAAAAAAAGTTAGCTAATTGTTGTCTGTTGACATATAAAAGATATATATCATTTTCAAAATACTTCACAACCCTTCTCTTGATTGTTTATTATAAGTAGTATATTCCCTTGTATATAGAATCATTATATATAGAACCATTATACACTAAATTCATATCATAATTACAGCGAACAATGCCCCATATACTTTAACAATCTAAAACCATTCGTATACCTAATGTCTGTTCTTAACTTTATTCGTAATATCTCATATTACCTTGCGATTTATTCACATTGTTTGGCCATTCGATTTGCCATGCTTCAGTTGCTTTATTGTAATTCATTAAGTATGCGCTAATATTTTGAGCAGTTTGCTCAATTATATGCCTCATCGATTTGCCACGCCGAATCGCAGCTCGCACTACAGTTCACCCCACCGTGGTTCACCGCAACAGGTGTTGACTGTAGTCAAGTTAACTTTTCACTTCTGTTGCGCGCATTCTTTGCACCACCTCGTGGCTTGCGGGTCTAGCACTCAGATTTGCTTTCAAGGTCAGTTTTGTTGTGGCTGCGCCTGTTGAAATTGCTCAGTCAATTAAGAAAATCAATTTTTGCTTTTGTTTTTGCTCACTTATTTTATTTCTTGAATTTCGCACCCACTTTTATTGTTATTTCTTTGCTATTGGTGTTGTTGTTGCAATCGTGTGAGTTGCTCAACTAATTTATCCAAGAGGCTAAAACCAAGAATTTGTTGTGGCTACTTTAGGGATAAACAATGATTGAGTATCCCGCATTCAAACAGGAATTTACGTGTTATTTATTCGTTGAGCAAAATATATAATATTATTAATTTTAACCTAAACTCAAATTTAAATATATGTTTAAATTAATTCAATTTTAGCTAGTATTAATTTTCCACTTTATAATATTGTGGAGTTCATATCATAGCTTTTGCCTAGTAGTTGGCGCCATCTAGTGGGCAAAAGCTTCGGGAAAAGTACTATAGCAATTGACCAAACCATAAATGACGTCAGCGAGGTGGCAACGCCATCACTTTTGTAGCACAGACAACAACCAAAATAGTTTTATATTTGATGCATTTTTTTTCAGTTGTTGCCAATTAATTTAAAGAAAACAGTTTGCTATATTTACATAATTTACATCAGAGTTAGATTATAATGTAAACATATTAAATAACATATTTAAATAAGTGCGTCTTAGATACTAAGCCATATTATTCATTCCGCTTTACACATTGATCACCAGCGCAGTCGATCTGTACTTTCTTTTCGGTGTGGCAATGTGCTTCGGCTTCGGGGAACGCTTTAACACAACGCCGGGCGGACGTCGGCTTGGTCGGCTGCCTTTGGACGGTGGATGCTCACCACTGAAGCTATTGCTGTGGAGCGGACCAGGGCCGGAGAAGTTTGGCGGGAAGGTTTCGAAATCTTCGATATCCAAATCGGGTCGCGGCTCGCGCGTATTGGATTTCAGGAACTTTTGTAGCTTGGGATTATTAAGCAGCTGTAGTTTGATGGCGTCGTCGAGCAACTTTTGCTGATCTTCTAGAAATGCCTCGATCTGCTTTTTGGATGCAGCGGTCTTATATCGATCGTGGCTCTTCGAACGCGGGGATCCCTCATAGTCTTCCTGATCCGATTCGAAAACCCTGTACGCAGAATGACCGGAAGAAGAAGTTGTCTTCGGAGGTGGCACCAAGTGGAAAGGGTCTGGCTCCGATTCATATGGCGCCGGCGTCCACTTTGTGCGCTTTGGCGGCGGCTCCACTGGCTGCTCCTCACCAGAATTTCCATCGGGTGCATATACCGGTCGTCCGTTGCTCTTGTATGGCGTGGTTGAAACATATTTGTGTGGCTTGGAGTACGGTGAGCTGGGATGGGCCTTTTTGGGCACCGTAATGGGATGTTGTACGCGTATATGGGTGCCTATGGTATACTCGCGACTGTCCTGCTGCGTCTCACTGGAATACTCACCCGAGTAGCGCTCGCTGGAGTAGTCATCCTCTTCCTAAAATTGGAAAGACTATTAGTTGACACTCGGGCCGTTATGCATTGCACCTGCAGCTAACCGAAGTGTAAGGCCTGTAGTGGGTCTTCTTCGGATATTTGTTGACCACATCGCGGCGCTTGCTCTCATTGGTGTGCAGGTCAGCACGATAGCTAGGCGGTCCACTAGGTGCAGACACCAAGCGCACGGGTCCTGGTGGACCTGCCGAGCTGTAGTAGTTTCGCCGGTAGAAGGATCTGGGCGGTTTCAAGCCAGATGCTATTGAGCCCAGCAGTAGTACAGCTCCCAGCAGCTACAATTGAACAAATTGGGGATTAGGAAACCTCTCTTCATTTTGGCAGTCACAGCAGTCGTCGCTTACATTCCAGCACAGTCGCATTTTGTATGGGTCTGTGGGGTTCACACTAAAACTTCACTCGCAGCGATTCACTAGATTTTTCGCTGCCGTAACAACGAAGTAACACAATTACGAAAGTGTTTTCACGTCTGCAGTAAGTCTTGCGCAGCCGCGTGGTTTAAACGAAACTGAAAGTCTTGGCAATGGACACAACGGTTTTATGCCAGCTTCCTTCCTATTCCAACAAACCAAATGCGCTGCCGCAACATGTTTTGCAATAAGCCCGAAGACGACAACTGTGGCCAGCAAAGAGWTCGAGAAAGAGAAAGAGAAAGAGAGAGAGAGAGAGAGATTGAAATCTGCGCACAAGTGAACAACTCACGTTTCACGCATAGACCTGGCCACCACTTGGAGGAAGCTGCGGCCCCAAACACAGCTCGACTCGGGCTGCTGGCAGGGGCTGTGCGACGGCCACCGCTAGCATCATTTGCATATCCAGTAGGAAGTGGAGCAGGCGGCATAAATAAAATGTTGTTTATGGCTGTAATTGCAAGTAACTATAACCATTTGTTAAATGTTGAGAGTGGCTTGGAATGCGCGTCTTATTAGCTGGCCAACTGGTAGTAGAGGGAGGCAATGGTCTAGCCGACCTCAAGCCAGTGGCCCTATCTGCCTCTAAGATCTGCTTTTGCGCTAACTGGTTTCAAGATGTGCCCACTGCATGTGTGTGTGGGTTACCCAATAAAAGTTGCTGCCACCACTTGCACTTTTTTGGCGGTTCGCTTGGCCTGAAGTTCAGGTTCAGCTGTGCCAGGAAATGCCGGCAATACATGGCTTGGCCTTTTGGTGCTCAGGTTTGGACTACTTTCTAGCAAGGCAGGATGCGACACAGGCGCAATGCGGAAAATGTTTTCTTTAATTTTTTTCTTTCTTTCTTTCTTACTTTTTTCTCTGTCTCTTCTGTTTGGCGTTTGGTAGGTGGAAGTGGAAATTGGAATTGGACAGCGTTCAATTGCATAACATTTCATCACGCGCCATTTGCGCAACTCTCGGCCAATGTTTTCCGTTACGCTTATCCTGTTTCGTTGTTGTTTTCTTCATTTTGCAATTTGTGTTTGTGTCTTTTTTCAATTTTAAAACAATTAAATACATGCCCCTAATGAAATAGTTGCTTAATGGCACTTTGATTGATACATTTGCAGTTGCATACAAAATTGGCCAATTAATGTTGACTCTATGCGGCATTTTCCTCCCAATTTCCAGCAAGGTCAAGCTCAAGTTCACGTCGCACGCTCCACGACAATTTGAACAGCAGCAACAGTTGCTGCAAGAGGTGCAACCAAAATTCGGCCGTCATAATTTCCGTTTCCATTGTGCACAAAATGAACTCACCTGGCCGGCTAGCTGTCTGGCTGTCTGGATAGCTGTCTAACTGGCCAGCTGAGGCTGAGCTCGTTTCAAGTGCCGTTAACAATATAAAGTTCAGTCAACGTATTTTTGGTGAAATGTTCATTTCAGTGAAAGGCTTCAGCTTTAGCTTAGCTGACAGAGCCTCCTTAAGCAATCCCTGACTGCCTTTGGTCATGCGACATTAAAGCTCAATTTAACTCAACTATAAATTATACTAATGTGCACTAAAATTAATTTACTCACTTTATTTTCAACAGAAATTAATTATCTCTCTCTCACTCTCTTTCTCGAGTTTACGGAGGCAGTTTATTGTTATGCAAAAGCTTAGCAATGACCAAGTTGTTTAATACTATTTATGTGTATAAAATACATTTTAATTTTATTTAAATTTTCATGTTTTGCTTTCATTTCATTAGACAATTACATGCCTATCTAATTTATAGCCAATGAGTAATCTATATACAATTTCCTTCAGAGCCAAAAATTAGTTAATTAGCTCTAGAGATAATATTTATCTAAGGTCTGCTCAAGCAACGATTCCTCTAAATCAAACGAAAGCGTTCTTATTATGTGATGATTAGCATTTTTATTATTCTTTTGTTTTTAGCGAACTTAACTCACTAAATTAATACATTTTGACTGGCCAACTAATAGAGTATGTAGAAATTATATAAGATTTGCTGTTCGTTTTTTAGGCAAGATCATTAGCACTAGAAATAATTTGTAGTCATTGTTGGCTGGCGGTGTTTAATTCGGTGCGCTGTGGGTGAAGTCGACAAGCGACAGCAAAAAAGAAGCAAAACAGAAAACAACGAGCCATAAAGCTGTCGCTGCCAACGTCGCAGTTGCCATCGCTGTCGCAGTCGCAGTCGCCGTCGCAGTCGCAGCGGCAGTTGATGCATTCAATTAACATGAAACGACGCCAACGTTGCATTCAATAAACACAAATAGTAAATATCGTATGTTATACAAGGTGTATGGTATATGGTATATATATATACATATCTATAATCGCTGCCTCAGTCGGGCAGGCCGACGTTGATTCGCCGCCCGGCCGAGCGACGCGCAGTCGCAACAGCTGAGGTCGGCGCTGGCGCAGCACCCACATCGACTACCAAAGCGTCGCCGTTGAAGCAGAGGCTGCTGCGCAGGTGTTTGCGTGGGTCAGAGGGAGATGTCGCCTCCGCAGCAGCAGGGGCAGCAGCGGCAGCAGCAGCAGAATTATCCACATCAGACGCTGTTGCTGTTGTACGTGTGTCATCAAAGCGTCGAGCTCTCATTGCTCCCGACGTTGTTGTTGTTGTTGATGTTGTTGTCGTTGTCAGCTCTGGCAATTTGGGCAAGATTTTCCGTGAGCGTAAGCTGTTGCTGTTGCTGTTGTTGTAACTGTTGTTGTTGCTGCTGCTGTTGCTGTTGTTGTTGTATTCGTTATAATTATTATGACTCTTTTTATTATAGTTATTTAACGACTTTGTATTGCGACCAGTTTCCACATATGGACCTGGCTGCTGTTGTTGTTGTTGTTGCAGCTGCTGGCCGCTTCCTGTCCGCATATTTGGCAACGACTGCCTCAACTGGCGACCCTCGCTCGGCTCCGAGCAATCATCATAGTAGGCATATTCCGCTGCCTCCTCATTGTAGGTGACATGTTTCTTGGCTGGTGCCGAGCTGCGCAGTCGCAGCTGCTGCATGCCATTGTCCATATAGTTCAGCATGGACTCATCAAAGTCCTCGATCCAGGGCTGCTGTTTGAGTATTTTCCTGGGCGCCATCACAGGTGGCCTCATGATCGACTCGTATGTGTCCGGCTGCTGCCACTGCTGGCCGTCGTTGAGTGGCTTCTTCGTGACCAGGCGCAGCTGTGGCGCATCCCGCTCCACGCTCAGATGGCGGACGTTGTGCTTCACCTGTAGCTTGGGGCTGTTCTTTGAGTTGAGCTCCACTTCGCGCTTGTTGTTCATGTCCATTTTGGGGCGACGGACATTGTTCTGCGTGGTGTCCGCATCATTGGTGTTGACGTAATCGTAGAACTGTATCTTGGAGCTGTAGGCTTGATTGCGTCTCGCTGCGCTTGGGTCTATCTCGGCAACAGTCTCAACTGCTGGCAGTGGATCAACATCTGTGAGCTTGGGCGTCACCTCGCGACGTGCTCTGTTCAGCAGACGTGACTTGTTGTTGTTGCTGTTGGTGTTGCTGTTGCTTGGCTGGAGATTGTCGTAGAACTGTATGGATGACTTGGCAAACTCCTTGTGAAACATTTGGCGCGTGTTCACCTCTGGGGTTGGCTCAGCTTGCAGTGAGCTCAACTTTTGGCTGGCTGTTGGGTGTGGGCGTTCGGCGCCAGACTGCAGCTGGAGGCTATTGCGTCGCTTGACCCGCGTCTCCACGGCGCTATCCACACGCGTGTCGTCCGGCCAGAAGAAGTGCGACTCCTGACGATTCTGTCCATTGCCGCAAGGCCGCCCCTCCATCTTGGGCGGCAGACCCGTGTAGAACTTTCCGTTCAGCATTTGTCCGACGTGGTTCGTTCAACTGTGAATTCCGACTGAAACTGATGAAAAGAACGAAAACAACCAAGCGACTTTGGCAGCTGCTGCTGCTGGTGCTGTCTCCGCCGCTGGCGTCGACGTCGACGCCGTCGTCTTCGTGTAGGTGTTCAAGTTGGCCGCGTCGCTGCGCTGCGCTGCTCAGCTCAACTAATTTGCAATTCTTGCGAAAAACAACATCGAGAAAAAAAAGAAGGGAAAAAAAACACATTTGAACATTTGAAGTATTCAATTTATTAGCGACTGCGCAGCTTATTCGACGCCAACGGCGACTGCAACGACGAGTTTCCGTTTAAGGTCAACTTGCCGCATTTTTCGAGCCAACGAAAAGTTGTTTTTCGTGCGCTGCGTTGACCAAAAATTAATGTTTTTGGACCTCAGATTTCAGCAGAGTCGAGCTTCACACAGTCCACCGCCAAGTTGTCTTGTCAATTAAGCCAAACAACTCAGTGAATGAAAAAGTCAGCCAATAAGTGGCTCAATTCTCGAATCGCAATGGCCGAGAACAGCTGCCAATTATGGGTAGCCCAGAATGGAAGTAATGTGTGAATATGGCTAGGGTAATGACAATAAGTTTTTTGTATGTCGACCAACGGGTCGTATGCGCAACATCAACTGTGCGACAGAAGAGGCTAGGCTAAGCTTGCCCCAACAATATCTAGTAATGGATGCATACTTGAGCTGAAGAACTCCCCAGATTTGGAGAACTTTTTTGTAAGCTTCAAATCAAATATAATTTTGTATTTTAGAGAAGCGTAATGTCACTATATATCTCTCTCCCTTTCTCGTTCTCTGTTTCTCTTAATTGATAAACAAATCAAAGAAACGGAAGCTAATTAAAATTGTTAGATTTTATTGTATTTAATATATTTTCAATCATTTTTCACATTGTTGCTGTAGTATTTTCGAATGTGAGTATCATTGGAGAACACTACTGAACTACTTACATTATGACGTAGGTATTTTCTGTATGTTTTTCTTGTTTTGCTTTTGTTTCCTTTCTTTTTTTTTAGACACAAATATTGTATTGCTGTTAGCATAATTATAAACAATTGATTTAAACGCATACTATTTTACATATAATTTCATGCACATCGATTTTTTGTTACTTTCATTTATTTTGTTTTTATAAAACTCAAGATGCATTGAAGAAACATTTAAGAAATACGAAGGAATATTTAAGTACGAACAAAATATCTCAGTTGAATGGCTGCTCTATGTGGGTATTATTGTGGTTTTTCGATTCTCAATGGATATGTAAGATGGCTTAGACTACATAGTTAATGGTGTTTGCATTTGGGTTTATATTCTGCACATACATATTATTCTTATGTGTATTGGTATATGTATTTATTTTCTTTTGTTTAGTAATGGATTTCTGAAACTAATTATTTAAAAACGATTTTTATTTCAATTTAAGAAGCATTACATGCAAAAACTATTTGAAAACTTCTCTCGGCTGGCATATGGTTTATTTTTTTAATTTTTGGTTTTTACTTTTTTCGCTTAGAATTAAACATATACTTAGGTGTTCTTAAATTGCATTTTGGTTTTCTTTGCTTTTTTTGTGTCTTTTTTTGTTAAGTTATTTTGTTGTTTTTTAAAAACTTTATTTACAATTTGTATTTAGAGCTGCTTGTGAGCTGAGAGGCTAATTGTAAACTTGAAGACGGATCCTGGGGCAGCGCACTTTCTTATCCATTTACCTGGCCAGCAATGCGGCTGGCTACCTTTCTCCCATCGCATTGCCAAATACCAGTTATGAGGCGCCATTAACTGCCAATATCTAAATCGATATCCAACATCAATATTCAGGGGCCTGGCTAATGAAGCAACGCCACCAACGCCTCGAGCCTGATGAAATTTTCCGCATCATTTTCGCAACACTTAATGAGCAAATCATGTCGGGACTCGTTTACTGCTGCTGCTGTTGCTGCTGCTGCTGCGGGGGCAGCATCGGCGACATGACAATTATGTTGGCTGTGGCGGCCTGGCCATACTCGAGCGGCTTCTGCATGGCAATCCCATCGGAGTCCGGTGCACGGGTTATAACGCAATACTGATTGCCGTTGTAGGTGACGATGGGCACGTTCATGTTGCCGGCAGCATCGCCAACATTGACGCCGATGGTGTTGCCGGCGTGTAGACCAGTCAGTTGGGCCTGAATGTAAGTGGCCGCCGTTGGGGAGTTGGCAATGATGTGCGAGACGGGCACTGACACCTGATCGGGAAGAAGGGATGAAGGGATACAGATACAAAGATACAAGATACCAGATACAAAGATTGAGTGAAAGTGACAAAAATTTTTGCGTGTTGTTGTTGAATGGTGTTTAGGTAGTTGTTTATGTAGTAGTAGTAGTTGTAGTTGTTGTTGTTAATAGCTAGTTACTTCATGTCCCTGATGGGCGACGCTGTTGCCGATGTTGTTGTTGTTGTTGTTGTTTTGGCTGCTGCTATTATTATTATTATTGTTGTACATAGGCGCGCTGGTCTGTGCTTGCTGCTGTTGCTGCTGCTGCTGCTGCTGTTGGTGGTGCTTCCTGGCCGCTTTCTTGCCGCCAGCAGCATGTTGCTGTTGCTGCTGCTGCTGTTGGTTGGTATTGAGGATCATCTGATTTTGTATGATTATCTTCTGGTTACGTGCATGTGCCTCCATTTGCGAGCTGTTGTTATGTATTTGGTTACGGTTCGCATCAATTTGATAGCCGCGATTATTGCTGCTGCTGCTGTTGTTGTTGTTGTTGTTGCTGATGTTGTTGTTGTTGTTGCCGTTGCTCTTAGCGATGGCGGCTGCTTGTTTTGTGGACTCTACGACTAACCGTTCTTGTTGTCAATACTGCAAGGATCAGAGAAGGCCAGTTTAGAGCCGCACCGATACGAAATGCTTGTACTGCCCTAGGCCCCGCTGGCCGGTAGGCTCAACCGACATTTGCTCACCTCCAGATGACTCTTGGCGTGAATAGACCACTCGTCCCTGCTCGAGAACATGCGTCCACATAGCTCGCACGTCCACGATAATTGCTGCTGGTGGTGTGGTATGATGATGCCCGGAATCGCTGTCGGCGCCCCTTGCGCCGACTGCACTATGATATTCTGGGCGGCCACCTGCACAGCCTGTTGCTGTAGCTGCAGCTCGAGGCTCTGCTTGTTGTCTTCCGGCGGCGGATCCGGTTGCTCCTTCTTCTTTACCATATTGTTCAGCCGCTTGCCGAGCGGCGCGATATTTGTGGGCGTCACGTGCTTGAACTTGTTCATGTGGATGACGAGCTTGTCCCGGCGAGCGAACGCCTTATTGCACACCTGAAATGGAGCAGATTGCAACAGATTAGAGGCTGCCAGCCATCTTTGAGGCATTGAAGCCTTTGAGTCTAGTGCTGCTTATACTTCACAAATATAGGGCTTCTCGCCGGTGTGGATGCGCATGTGGATGGTCAGCTTGTCCTTGCGCGCCAGCCCCTTGCCGCAGACGGTGCACTCGAACGCCTTGTTGGTGGCTGCAGAGGATCGCCATTGTTTTCATTGAATGTATAGCAATCTGTTGTTGTTGTTACTCACTTTTTGATGGGTTTGTTTTGCGCACCCCGGAGGACGCCTGCTGCACCTGTTGCAGAGCCTTGAGCCGACTGGCCGGATGCATGGAGCCGCCCTCCACGTATGGCTCAGTGAAGGGTATCAGATTCGGCTTCGGTATGTTGTAGGTGAGCTGTTCCGCCGCTGACCAGGTGCCCAGGCTCTGCAGCACGCGCACTCCGCCCTCGAAGCCCATGCCGTCGTCGGGCACCGTAAAGGTGCTGTCGCCGGCGGCGCCAGCAGCGCCACCTGAGCTGGAGGAACTGATCTGTGGCACTTTAATGGTGGCCGCATAATGTTGCTGCTGTTGCTGTTGTTGCTGCTGCTGCTGTTGCTGCTGCTGTTGCTGTTGTTGCTGCTGTTGTTGCTGCTGCTGCTGTTGCTGCTGCTGCATGCTGCCATTGTTCTGGCTGTTGTTGTTGTTGTTGGCCGTGGGCGAGCTCTGCTGCACGGAGCTCTGTTGCTGCTGCTTGAATTGGATGGCCGCCTGCGCCATCTGCTGTTGCACGGCCATGTGCGCCTCCAGATATGCATTCTTCTGGGCCACCGTCATCTTGTCCATGTTAACGGTGCCGTCCTGCGAATTAACCAAATGGCAATGAAACATTGAATAAGTCTCTCGCTCACATTCCGTTCCGTTCCAGTTCGTTTCGTTTCGCTGCCACCCCTAAATGGCCAAGCGCGCAAGTGTTGCGAAATTTCACCAGCCGCCACCCCCAACAGAGCGAACTCAAAACAGCCTGCCCTTGCGCAAAAATTTGTGACTTGAGCTTTTGCTCGGGCGGATTTTCAATGAGGTGCGGACGTGGTTGCGGGGGCGGGTGCGGGTGCTGCCTCTGGTGGTGGTGGTGGCGTTGCTGCTACTGCTGCTGCTGCTGCCACTAAAGCCGCGCGCGTATGTGTGTGTGTGTACGCCGGCCGTTCTCCCTTTGGCGGCGTTTTTGGGTTTGAGGCTTTTCCGTGTCTGCCTAAATGTATTTAAAGCGCGCCAGCGAAAGTTAAGCAAAATATTAGCCGTTCACTCACTATGGCTTAAATGTTTATTGCCCGCTATTCACATTTGGTTAATGCCGCAGCACTAAACGCGAACTGTGCTCAATGCCCCACACCGTGCGCACTATTGACATTTTCATTGGCTCAGTTTTGTAGCTTTTCTTTCGCCTAGGTTTCTTTTAATTTCTTTTCTGTGTTTTTTTTTTCCTTTTTTTTTTTTTGCAATGTTGCTTACCACAATTGAAAATCAATAAAAAGCGTTGCGTTTCGTGCAAGATTTGTTTTTGTGTTGGGATATCTATAGTTTTTCTTCCTCTTCTTTTTTTCCTTTGCAGCTCACAGTTTTTGATATATTTCAGAATGCTATATGCGAGTGGTATACGAGCTTTATTTTTAGCTACTGCTGTCGTCGCCGTTTACTTCCTCGAGCCAGTGCTCAGCGCCTTTTGTTTGTGTATGTATTGCGAAACTGATTTGGAGTCGACTCGCTCAGTCGCCGTCACCGTCACCGTCACCGTCGCCGYCGCCGTTGGCGCTGGCGTTGGCGTCGCAGCCGCAGTCTCAGTCTCAGTTGCGGCCAGAACGAACACAATTTGAGTAATTATTTGTTATTCTTCACCGAGAAACAGGAACGGAACGTGCGACAATGACGACAACGACTACGACTACGACCACGACCACGACGAAGGCAGCGCTGGAGTCAGAGTCAACGACAGACAGATACTGAAGCGCCTGAACTTGAGCGCAAAAGGCGGAAGTGTAGCTAGAAAAAAGGTATTGCATACCACTCGGCGCGCTGCCCGAGAGCTTTCGCTCTCTCTCCCACTCTCTGTGTCTCTCTCTCTCTCTCTCTCACACACACACACTCTTGCGCTCAGCCGCGCGATGGTGGTGGCTGCCGCGGAACAACTTGACAACGAAACAGAGTCGTCCGCGTAACTTTGACAATGACAATTGCGGAGGCCGCTTATCAGTTGAGATGCCTTGCTGGTTCACTCACCTGAAAGTCTATGGTGGCTCGGACCATCTGCATGGAGGCGGCATAGTTTCGCAGCATATGCTCGTTGCGCACGCAAAGCTGCCGCCACTCGTACAAGTGCTCCAATCGGTCGAGGCACAGCTCGCATATGTGCTTTGGCAGATAGTCGTCCTTGGTTATCTGTTGAGGACCACACACATATATATATGTAAATGCACACACACACACATACACTCAGCTACTCACATTCGCCTGCAGCAGACTGCGCAGCTTGTAGAGCAATTGGCGCTGCTCCGCCTGCGGCTCAAAGATATGCAACTTGGTGGGTCCATGGTGTATGCCACACAGGCGGCACAGCTCAGCGAAGTTGCTAAAGTTTAGGTCCACGTCGTGCTGCTGCCCCTCCTCCCCATAAAGCTGGCCGTCATGTGTTGCGCCCGTGGTGTCTAGCAGGTGCTGCTGCTGCTCCAGTTGCTGTGCTGCTGCCTGTGCGGTTGTGTGTTGTATGTGCGACTGTCGATTGTTGACGTTCAACATCACGTATTGCGCGCGCTTTTGGCTTTGGTATGGCTGGCTTAAGTGGTTGCAGCTGCTAGTGGTGCTGTATCTGCATATTGGCTGCAATGCATTGCTGATTGTACTGACAGGTGCATACCCACACACGTACACACGCACACTTACCCATAGTTCGAGTAGCTATAGTGGTGCCCAGTTGACCACCCTCCCACCTGATTGATGTGGGAAAAATCGATGGAATTGCACTATAATTTATTCAACCACAACACTGAAAATAATTGCTACCAATCAAGCTATTATCAATTAACATGGCTATCCCGTTACGAGCACTGCGCGCCCATTTAGCCATATTTTAATCCCTTATAATTGACATACATTCGTATGCGCGCACACACACACACATGTGGCATGCAACACATACAGCAGATGACAATTGTTGTTTTTTTTTTTTTATTTCATTCCTCTTTTTATTGAACACTTCGAATGTGGAGAGCACGAATAAAAACGATTTACGGAATAAAAACTGCTAATGCTTACGTTGGGTAGCTGTTGCCACTGCCACTGCTGCTACTGTTGCTGCTGCTGTTGCTGCTGCTCTTCCTGTTGCACTGCCACTTTGCCACTGCCACTGCCACTGAAAGCGCCACAATTGAACCACTCTCGAGTGTGAGTGCAACGTCGGTGAGTGAAAATTGCAGGCAACATAGCCTGCAGCCTGGGCACGGCGAGTGCGCATTGCAGGACTCTGAAGGGGGGCGTCCAGCTAAGTGGGCGTTTGTGGGGCATTGCACACGGTTGGCTTGTTCAGGTTCTTGTTTGGGTGTTTGGGTGATTGGATGTTTGGGCTTTTTTCTGTACACCAGTAATTTTTTGTTAGAGAAGAAATGAAAACAAAATGCTTGGTAAATCATAAAAACGCGGGCAACAGGTGTTGATTAGCCTTCTGCTTCCGGTGGCGGTTCGTCAGCAGCAGGTGGTGCCTCCTCAGCTGCTTCAGCCTCCGGAGGTGCTTCCTCAGCTGCTGGTGGTGGCGCTTCAGGCGCTGGCGGTGCCTCTTCAGCCGCTGGTGGAGCCGCTTCGGCAGCTGGCGGTGCAGGCTCAGGCGCTGGTGGTGCCTCTTCAGCTGGACCTCCATCTGGTTCGCCTGCGCCAGCGTCAGCCTCTTCTGGCTGAGGTGAGGGTGCCGCTGGCTTACAATCGGACAGCGAGCTGCTACCCTGTTCGAGCATTGCAAATTCATCTTCACCAAATACATCGGCGAAATCTTTCTGCTCGGACTGCTCTTCCTCGGGCACAACCTCTTCATACACCACGATCTCCTTCCAAATAATCTCCTCATCGACGCACACGGGCTCATCACTCTGCGGCTCTACACGCTTGGTGAGATCTATATCTTCTGTACACGGCTCGGTGTGGTCGAATCCACCACAAGTCACACATGATGACGTAGTTATCAATAGCGACGAATGCGGCGAAGAGCTGGACAGCACAGAGGTGGTGCTGGAGACCTTATCCTTAGGCTTGGCATCCTTGGCTGTCGACTTGTACGTTACGGTCGTCTGTTGCGACTTCTCCTGCACGTTTAGATCGGGCATTAGCTGACACTGATTGGTGATCTGCGGCACGACGGGATTGCTACGCATCAAATAATCGGACACGCGGACCTTCCAATCCTCCTGGCTGCAGTCGACATTCTGCATAATATCGTAGATTTCCGAAAGCAGAGGCTTCAGCATGGGACGGTTGCAAAAACGATTCTTATCGAAGATTTCAATGGGCTCATGGATATCTGCATAAATGACATTGTTGAGAACATATGATCGACATTGGTGCTCGGCATTACTTACAGTTTGGAAATATAAAGGTTATTTCACGGGCCACGCTATCCACATGCTTAGTTACATGAATATTGCGCTCCAACTCCGAAGCGGTGCCACTGTAGGTCAAGCAAATTAATTGAAATCGAGCTGCGATGCCTTCGACTTACAAATAACACATCATAATATTCAGCAGATCTTGTACGCCGTTCTCTTTGGTAAGAATAAAGGCCTCAGATATACCCTTAGACAGCAATATTACCTCCAGCATGAAGCCCTTCTCATCTGCAAAGTCCGCATAGAACTCGGCTGCCAGCTCAGGCGAAAAATTCAACTTCCGACTTCCCTGAATCTGATATCCGGAAGCTAAGACCTTTAGCAGCACCGGACGACGCTTGTGCATATAGTCCGGCTTGATGATGAGCAGCGTATCCTGGAACAGCATTCTTAATCACATATGTAAATTATGGTGTATTTCTAGAATTGCTTCCAAATAAATTTTAAACATGCACACTGATTTATATATTTTTGTAATATTTATTATCAGATTTTATTCTCGTTTTAATGTTTTACACTTTTTGTCGTCTTATGCTACACACACTTTTTTTATACGTTACTCCCATTTCTCCGTAGGTCGAACCTGTTTGATTAGTCGCAGACTGTTCTGGTTTATCGTTCCACATGATATATTCTCTTAGGATTGCAGCAATATTATTATAAAATGAGTTCACGTTTAAGTGATATATAAAAAGTACATGACCGGAAGGGGCGTGTCTCCGTTTGGGATTTTAATTTAAGCCCGCTTCGCATTCTCTTGCTAAAATCAATCGGTATCGAGTGCATTCCCATTTTAACTATCACCCCACTTTTTTTTCTCGACTTAAGTGCAATGTAAAGTAATTGAAAATTGGGAAAAAAAATTATAAATTTTAGAGAACAGTAAGTAATTTTAGATCATTTACAGTCACAATGGATTACAGAATGTAAGCAAATAAGTAAAGATATAATATATATTTATATAAATCGTGGCGCCCCTTTGCGACACATCACAAGGCGGTTGCGGTTACAACATCTTAAGCTGTAATTAAAAGTTAAAATTTGTTATCAAAGCTGGAATCAATAAATCTCTTCTAAATCCTCCCATATACCTGAAATTCTGGCAAAGGCCAAAGCGGACTTCTCGTTGTCGAAGCACTTGCCTATCTCAGCGCAGACGTGCGACGGATCGACATAGGGACGCTCGGACAGATGCATGATGCTGTAGCCGTAAATAGTTATCATTCGCGAGCACTAAAATATAAAGATTAAATAATATAAGATACAGAAATATATCGAATTGGGAATGCATCTACTTACAATGCTATAGTACTTGGCTGGCAAGTCCTCGCAGGCTTGTGAGATCATGTCCCGAATGGTAAATTTGTCGTGATCCTTCTCCGAGCGGAAGAATGGGAACAGAGACTGCGCAATGCCATGGCAAACGCCACACTCAACCACCTCATCGGTGACGACTTGGCTGAAGCAGAGCTGCAGTTTCTGGCACACCTCCTTCGGAGGCACCTTGCTCAGCAGACTGATAATAGCCGAGGCATAGCCGTCGACAAAGGTATCACATTGCTTGCGTATGGTGGTCGGCAGACGTCCACAGACAGCGCGAATGGCCTTCTTGATCTCGTCCTGCTCGGTTTGGTTACGCAGGTCGGCTTCCAGTTTCGTCATGACGAACTCACACAAGACACAGGTGGGCGGCTCATCGACCTTGGTTGACTCCAAGCGCGCCAACTTATCGACCTGCTGCTTGGGCATCACAATTACATCGTATTTCAAGGCCTCATCGATTTCAACTATCAATTGGGAAATTGAATGGACATAAGTTAAGTTTATATATCAACCTTTGTGTATATATTTTGGGCACTTACGATCCTCCTGCTCGCCGCCCAAGCACATGCCAATCTCGGTGCAAATGATTTTCGGTTCCATCTCCCTCAGTAGGAGGTCGGCAATCTGATCACCGTGCTTGTCAATGAATTTATGACACTTGGTGGCCAATGGTTTTTTGAACTTATCGCAAGAGTGCTCTAGCGCGTCCTTAATCTCTGACTTGGTCGTATGCTTGCCAATCCTCTTCTCGACTGTTTTGACAACCTCTTCGCAGAGCAAACAATTGGGAGCGACGCCGAAGTCCTTGTCGAAAGCAATCTGTATGGGCATCTCCTTGCTGGAGTCGATTTCATTGGCTTCTAGTTCCTCGCTGTTGCTGCTGGACGACTTATCGGCCTCCGCGCTATCTATGAGACTGATGCTCATTTCATCCAAATAGTCCTTAGTTTTGGGACACAGTTTCAACTGTACGCAAATCTCTTCTGGCTTGAAGTCGGTGATAAGCATGTCAATGAGCTCATTGGAGTAGGTCTCTACAAAGTCAACGCACTCGTCGCGCAGCTTGTTGGGCAGATGGGTGCACAGGCCGTCAAGAACCTTTCTGATATTATCCTTCGACTTGTTGTCACGAATCTTTATCTGAGCCTGCTCAACGGCAAACAGACAAAGCGGGCAGGTGGGCTTGTCCTGTTGATCGGTTACCGGTGATGGATTGAATACCTCGATATCATCGTGATTCTCAATGTTTCGTGGACACATCTGCATCATGGGGCACACGCTGCGTGGATTCAGACCCTGGATGAGCAATGCAATGACCGCATCGCCGTACATTTCCACAAAGTTGCGGCATTGCGCGGCCACACCCTGTGGTAGCTTAGTGCAAATGTTCTCAACAGTATGCTTAATCTCATCATCGGTAGCAGGCGTGGCCAGCGTTTCCTGAATAAAGTGCAACAGATACTCGCAGATGGTGCACAGTTCACCGCCCTGCACCAAAAGGCCGGGATTAGCGGCTCCCATCAGATGATCGATTGGCAGCTGCATGTCCATAATTTGTTGCTGGCTAAACTTGGGCTCGTTGGCGCCTAACTTCTTGATAGTCACGTGCACTTCGGCAGGGGCAATGGCCGGCAACAAAGGCATGATGGGTGCATCGTGGGTGTTATCCAAGCCTTTGGGGCAAACTCCAATGAGGAAACAAGTGCCATTGGCGTCCAGATTGTTGACCAATGTACTGTAGATGACATGATAGTACTGATCCACAATGCTGATGCACTCATCCTTGAAGCCACGCGACTGTTTGCAGAAGCCCTCGAGAACCTGCTTAAATTCGGTCTCTGTGGTGTTGGCCACAAGCACATCGCGCAAATGTTTCACCAGCTGCTCGCACAGAGCACAGGGAATGTCGTCACCAACGCCGTCCAGAGTAGTCAGTGCCTCCGGTTCCTTCACATCATCCTCGTGTTGATGGTAACGGGCTGCACACACGCCAGACAAATGGCACAGGCCATCTGACCGCAAGTGCTGCTGCATATTCTCGTAGATATCGTTGAAATAGGTCAGTACCAAGTTGGCGCAGCCATCGGAGAAACTGGACATGGTGCCGCACCAGTGCAGCAGCTGCTCAACCATGTCATCGCGGTTGGTAGACTCAAACTTGCTCTGCATCTTGCGCGTGAGCAGATTGCAATTTCCACAGGAGAGCTGAGTCAAGCCAGTCTCCTTGCTTTCTTCCTTCTTGTTATCATTATTATCGATCACTACTTCCTCTTCCTTGAGCGTGCCGTCCAGAGCCGCCTGATATGCGTTATGCAGCAGCTCATCGATGCGAGCGCTGTTGCACAAACCAGCTACCGAACAGACTTGCTGTAAGGGAAATGAGTAAGGTTAAAAAAGAAAATGTAAGCAGATTTTGTATCGGCTACTCACATCAGGATTCATCTGCGAGGACAACGCCTCGACAAGCTCGGGTATGAAGTTGTCAGCCAGAGTAATGCACTCCTTCTGCACTAGCTTGATGGGTATCAGTTTGCAGGAGCCTTCAAATACCTCCTTAATCTCCTCCTCGGTCTCATTGCTGCGCAATTGATCGCGCGCCTGTGTTACCATGTCCTTGCATATCTGGCAAATCGAATCCGTGTCCACGGGCACTGTTCGTTTTTCCCACACGGTCTGAATACAGTGACGGGTAGCCTTGCATTCCTTTGAATTGCTACCGAATGAAACAAAGCGGAATAAGTTAGTCGACTATTCGAAAAAAAAAAGTGCTGCGTTCGCAGTTGGGAAAAACAAATGCCTCAAATGACCCGCAATCATAATCGCTTTTCGTTCAGCTAGAAATTGAAGTCAGCAAAGATCAGAGTCCAAAGCATTAAATGAACCCTCGCAATATCCACTAGTTGAATGCACCCGCAGCAAATTTATCATATACATATGTACACATTCAGATATCGCTTAACAGACAGCGGGAATTATGCTTAAACCGCCCGACCATTTAAAAACAATAATCTGATATTGTAGAGAATTCAGACGCAGTTTATATTCCCCAAAAATTACTGTACGTTTATTAATTCCATGATGTTCTTGATAGGCTGTGGCACACAGTAATGTGCTAATTTTTATTTAACAAACAAATATTGTGTATATACTAGGCAAGATAAGCAGACATACTCATATTTGGAATATACGTATAATGTATATATTCATATATGCACTTATATGTAGCGACTTCTTGTTGCAAAAAATTTGCGACGTTTTCTGTTTATATTTACCATTTTGGTTTGACAAGGAAAACAAAGACGAGTTAAGCGATCCCGTGCACATAAATAAATAAACAAAGAAATATAAGCTAATGGAAAAATACGAAGTAAAATCGATCGATTGCAAAAATTTTGTCTAACTTGTATGAAAGCTGAAGCGTTGATTATTGAAGCATTTGCTAGAAAATGCAATTATATACTTGCAATGGCGTGTTTATGGCGGGTATTGCATATGTATATATGTACATATAYATACATACACACTATTCCAACCTAGGGCAAATACAAGTGTAGGTATAACTACAGTTTGGATTAGTCAGAAATCGAATTGATAAGAAAGTGCCAAGTGTTGAATGTAATATATTCAGTTTCATTTATGACGAATAGTTGGCAAAGTTTAACCGAAAGTCGGACAATTGCCGCCCTAAGCTGAGACCAGGCTTTGCTTAAACCCGATTAGTCATCAAAATTTGCGGCTGATTATGCAGCTTACAGATATGTTTATTCATTTGCGCATATGTAATCCGTTGGCTCAGCTGGAATTGCAATTGTTAATTGAATTTAAAACGGAATCGAAACGGAAAACAACACAAATAACACTTACAAAGAGAGTCGTAGACGAAAGAGAGATAATGACAAAGGGAGAAAGAGCGAGAAAGAGAGAGAGACGGAGTGTACGTGTGTGCAAAGTGTAGCTAAAGTTCGCACGTATGACAAGTATGAAAAGAAAACACAGAGAGAAATACTGCTAAAAAAAAAAAAAATTAGAGCAACTGTAAACCGCATAAAAGGTTATCGACGGCACAAACAGTATGGCGGCTCCGCCTTGGAT